ACAAGGTCTCCAGTAAGGTGATTTTGGTGTTCATCACATATTAGAAACAGAATTTAGTAACTTTCTGATGATGATGATGATGATGATGATGATGATAATATAAAGGTCTGCATAACTATCTGATGGTGATGCACTTCCACAGGTGCTTATGTAGACACAGTATACATACATACATACAGGTCCTTCAGGTTGGAGGTTGGACTTAAGGCTGATGCCCTTGCCATGCAAAAAAACTACTTTTATGAAATCAAAAAAGTGAAAACCAGATCATATCTGGCAAAATTTTCTTGGGAAAGTGTATGACTCAAAAGGTGCTGTTTTGCCAATGATGATGATGCTACATATATACATACAAGTGCATGTGCATGCCTGCACGCCCGCGTGCACACACACACACACACACAATCTGTATGTTCATTACTAAAATTTTTGCATGTCCTTGGAAAGTAGTTATGAAGAACCTTATGGTTAGTTTAATGTAGTTATTAGAGCGAGATCCTTATGTTTTATCCTTATATTTTGGGGGAACTCTTCACATAGTGTAATAATTTTTAAAATACAAAAGAATATAATAAGAATCATTACAGGATGTAGAAGTAGAGATTCATGTAGAGAATTATTTAAGAAATTAAAAATTCTACCGCTTCAATCGCAATACATATTATCGCTTCTCCTATTTGTTGTTTACAACAAAGATAAATTCAAATTAAATTCTGATGTCTATAACATGAATACTAGACAAAAATATAACTTCCACCTACCCTCATCAACTTTATCAGTATATCAAAAAGGAGTCTACTTTACTGGCATAAAAGTGTTCAACAATCTGCCACAAAGTATTAAAAACTTGGGCAATGATACTAAAAAGTTTAAATCAGAGTTAAAGAATTATCTACATGCTCATTCCTTCTACTCTTTAGATGAATACTTCAATGTAAATAGAGAATGATGTAAAATTAAGTTATATTAATTTTTAAGCTAAAATTGCCTGTACTTATGTATGTAACATTTTGACTTGTTCTGTATCCAAAGGTACTAACCTGTTTAGGATTTATAGAGTGTAAATAAATTCAATTCAATTCACTGTCAGGTAAGCCCTCCACTAGAGCCAGATCGACAGGCACTAATTGAGAAGATTGTGAAGCTGCAGCGAGCAAATGCACGTAAGACAGAGAAACTGGGCTTCCTGGAAGAACATACAAGCCAGCTGGTGGCTGAGCTGCAGAAGAAGACACGAATTGTCCAGTACTACATTATGCGTGAGCAGTCAGGTGCACTGTCATCAGCCTCAATGGATCAGAACAAAGTATGATACCTACCATTAAAATTTAAACATATGATCATTTACATCTGGCAAGTAGATCTTGGAAAAACTTTGTTGATATATAACAGATTCTACTTTACAAAAGCAATTATTTCTTTGTATCATAAACCATTAATCAAATTTTGGTGAAACTCAGTATGCAAGATCATTGCATGACATTAGTTCACCATTTTGTTTTTTAGCAACTGATTACAGAACCTCTGTGGTCTAGTGGTCAGAGTTCCTGGCTACAGATCCAGAGGCCCAGGTTCGATTCCCTGCTCTACCAGATTTTCTGAGAAGTAGTAGATCTGGAACAGGGTCCACTCAGCCTCGTGAGGATAATTGAGTAGCTATTTCAAGGAAATAGCTCCAGTCTATAAAACTGAAATTAGCAGCTGTGGGGACTCGTTGCGCTGGCCATGCCACACCCTATATCCACTAAAGTTGGCGCTGACTTATCTGACAAGTGGCAGTCGCTCAGTCAGTATAGTTTGCTTGCGGANTATCATCACTAATCAAATTTTAGTGAAATTGTATATTAGACATCTTTGCTTAATGTTAGTGAGCCATTTTGATTCTTAGCCATATTGACTAATTTCAAAACGTGGGACTTTTCCATATATCCCATAAATCATTTCACAGATTTTGATGAAATTTGATATTGTGCATTATTATGCTGTTGAAATATGACCCTTTTATTCGCTACAGTAAACACATTCCATGTTTTGTTGAATTTCAGTTTATAGATTGGCTGAAGGTAAGCTTATTAAACAGCAAAAATAATGTTGGGAATTTGTGTACTACATTTTCAATTTTATTTACAGCTGCAAAGCCACTTAGCAAGGGGAACATTTTTCTTTTAAGTTGTGTAGTTTTTACCAGGAAGTTTATTTGATGACATGAATGTTCATTCATATCACAGATCATATTAGGTGCTCATTTACCAGATTAATACCATAAGATTAACCCTTCAGCTGATTAACTCCACCATAGAACTATATGCTAGATACATGAAGACTGCTTGGTGATAAATACATGGAAAACCCCACAGTACTTCCTCAAATGATCTTCAAATAACCATAGATATAGATCATGTGAAAGCCTGTACTTTCCTCTAAACATTGGTATGTCACACTTGATGGCATCTAATGACAGAAATATTGTATTAATTGATTAACAACAAGCCAATCCTTTGGGCTATGGTAGTTTTAATGCAAGTACCCTGACCTGATATAATTGACTATGACATGCAAATAGTTAAAGCCAACATTTTATATGAGAAATTATGGAATACTTGAATGAATTATGACTGTTTTGTACATTTGATGAACAATTCTCTTTCTTACAAGCTTCCATCGTCTGGCCAAAAGAGAAAGAAAACTAAGGTAAAAGCAAGGACATTTTTGTTCTGTGTTGTGAATATATTTGGGAAATATGATTGAATATATTAGAGCATAGAACTCATACTACAGTTCTGAAAATTCATGTAAGAAATTCATCATCATCTTCCTTTGACATTTTCTTTTTTTTTTGTTGGTCATCTACCAACCAAGCCTCTCCATCTTGCCCGCTCTCCCTCTCTTCCTAAAACTACTGCTCCATTTCTTCCCCATGTTCTTTCTTCTTTCTCTGACATCTTTGCTAGCCTGTACCCATGGTCATCTGAGTCTTCCTCATAGACATTTACCTTTGATTTTCAAATTCAAGGCTTCTTTGGGATTGCATCTTCACTCATTCTTAAAACATGTCCATACCTTTTTGTTCCCTCATTCTTACTTACTTACTTACTTACTCATGGAGCTGAGCCCTTCTTGAGGAGCCGCCAATTCTGCAGCTACTGAAGAATTTCCCAGCATTTTATGGAACCCGAAGGTTCATCACCATGTTCACAAGAGCCCTCCACTGGTCCCTATCCTGAGCCAGATCTATCCAGTCCATCCCATCCCATCCAATCTCTCTAAGATCCATTCTAATATTGTCCACCCACCTATACCTTCGTCTTCCCTGTGGTGTCTTTCCTTCTGACTTCCCCACCAATATCCTATACACATTCCTCCTCTCCCCCACTCGTGCTACATGTCCTGCCCACCTCATCATCCTTGACTTGATCATTCTAATTACACTTGGAGAAGAGTACAAGTTATGAAGCTCCTCATTATGCAGTTTTCTCCAACCTCCTGTGACTTCATCTCTCTTTGGTCCAAATATTCTCAACACCCTGTTCTCAAACACCCTCAGTCTGTGTTCCTCCCTTAATGTCAGAGACCAAGTTTCACACCCATACAGAACCACAGGCAAAATTATAGTTTTGTATATTCTAATTTTTATGTTTTTGGACAGCAGATGAGAAGAAAAAAGGTTCTGGACTCAATGGTAGCAAGCATTACCTGAGTTCAATCACCTCTTAATTTCCTCCTGAATCAGGTTTCGATCTGTTATCGTTGTTCCCAAATAGCTGAACTGTGCCACATTTTCAAAACATCTGTTTCCTATCGTTATGTCATGATTTTGCCCTGCATTTTGGTGACAAGACAGTAACATATACTTAGTTTTTTCTGTGTTTACTTCTAGACCAACCTCTTTAATTGCATCAGTTAAAGTTTGTGTGTTTTTCTTTATGGTATCTACATTATCACCCAGTAGATTCACATCATCAGCATAGGCCAACAGCTGATGTGTCCAGTTTAGTTTCAGTACCACCTGGTTTCCCTGGACCTTCCTAATTGCATATTCTAAGGCAAAGTTGAAAAGGAGTGGCTATAGAGCATCTCCTTGTTTTAGACCATTCTGGATAGGAAACTTATCAGACAGATGTTTACCTACACGGACTTTACTATACGTTTCGTTTAAACACATCTTAATCAACCTAACTAGTTTCATGGATATACCAAACTCTATCAGAATATTGTACAATACTTCCCTCCTAACTGAATCCTAGGCTTTCTTGAAGTCTATAAATAGCTGATGTACTGTCTCATCATACTCCCATTTTTTCTCCAGTGTCTGACGAATGCAAAAGATCTGATCTATTCATAAATTTTTATTCTTTTCCATTGTATTTGCAACCAAGATAGCTCAGTTGGCATAACAACTAGCTATGTTTCCCGCAGGAATAACGTGACTACAGTTTGAAGCTATGCTTTTCCATCTAGTGCTGATGTTAGAAATGTGTGGAACTTTACCTCCAGTCCCGACCTGTCTTCATGACATAGTGCATGATCAAGCAGACAGACAACTTTTCCAATGTAGTTATCTTTGAATTTTATGTTTTTCATTTCCATTTCTCTGCATTTTTCTTTTTGCGTCTGTAGTTCTTAAAAATCTCATATAATCAGGTATACTCATATATTACTTATTACATGATCACAGATGTTTCACACACATTTATAATCTTATGTTGTCCTACAGGCAGAACTTTCAAGACACAGAGGAATCATGGCCTCAGTGTACGGTTCCCAAGCACTCGATGACAATATGACACTGGAATTATCTTTGGAAATTAACAGAAAGCTCCAGGAGGTACTGGAAGACACACTCCTCAAAAATATCATGCTCAAGGTAAAATCCAATTCACATATAAGATTCTAACATGGGTTATCAATGCCAGTTTCCATCAGAATTCAGTTGGTAGTTTCAAACATGAAAGTTGTGGATGGGTAAGGTGATACAAAGCAAGTTAGCTCAGACAGTAACTTGTGTTCAGGAGGTGCTCAGTTTGAATCTCGGCCAGGACCCTTGACTGTACTGAATGAGATTTTCTGTTTTCTCACTCCCTTTAAGGAAGTAGGATACCACCTTAAATTAGACCATTACCACTTTTTTCCATATCCTTCCCAATTCATTATTTATGATTTATTCAATTCTATATAGTCTGAGTTACCAACAGTGTTAATAAATATTGTAACATGACACCTGAAAGCCAGAATACCAGAGCCAGAGGAGAGGTTCATTGCTAGGCAACAATTCAGGAAACAGGTTTCCACAGCCGCAAGTAGGTAAGCAACAGTCAAGGTATTGTTGAGCTATAATAATGGAAACGGTGTTGTCTGTTGGATCCCCCCAAGACTATATAACGAGGGTCCCAGGCCAGCTGAGAATTACTTGAGAGAGAGTTTCTTGAGATGGCAGTTGAATGATTGAGAAGAGATGGCAAGAAAGGAATTAGACTGTGCAAGGAAGACTTCATGTGTGCTGCAGTTACAGTGAGACTGGAATAATTAGTGTGCTGAAACCCATTGCCAAGATACAACTAGTGAAGACTGAGAGCCCTAGTGTATGTGTAACGGTGAACCGTAAAGTGTGTGTATCGACAATAGTGCTGTATTGCCTGTAGTTACAAGTTAAGTGTATAAGTGCAATAAATCCCATCATCCACTTGACATCCCATCAGTAGTCACTAATAACGTGCGACATTATATTACATGTAAGAAGAGGGCATGAAAATACACAGTAGACTCTTCAGTTACCAAATTTGTGAATTAACAGCTGCACATTTAGAACCCCTTAGATACTGATTATGACTTGTCGCAATGATGTCAGTGTTGCCTGTTGTATGTGTTTCAGTAATACATTCTGTAGCGGCCTCCATAGTCTAGGGGTAACATTCCCACCTCATGACTCAAAGTACGCGTGTTCAACCCAGCAGAGGTTGTGGAATTTTTAAGGGTGGAAAAATTCAGGGAACAAGTCCTCCGGGAGGGACTTTAAGCTGTGGGTGCCGTGTCCTAGATTTACGGCACGTAAAAGATCCTCATGTCTCTAGGAGACCTCTGAGCAAAATTAGGCAAAAGTTTCCCGCCCAAGTAGTTTCCAATGCCTCCGGTAAATGGGTAAGTATCGGTTACCACTGCCAAAAGAGGGCCGACCTCACTGGCAGCATGGGGCTGATAGGAGCACCAGTACTGGAAGGGTATGGGGACAGTAGAAATTAAAGGGGGATGCACAATGGACCAATAACTGGTCTAAGTGCATGGGGAAACCCACTGCCTCTAATAATAATAATGAATACATACTGTGATGTTTTACAGTGATTTGCAACAGACTGTAAACTGTACATCTCACCCTGTTGAAACCTTCTGTTTTATTATTTTAATGCTTTTCTTGCCAGTCTGCTGCCACTGTTCAGGGTTACTATCTTTAGTTGAAATTATATGTCACACTGCTTAGTAACAAGTAGCATTACAAGTAAATAATAATTAGGCTGTTTCAGGATTGAATACTTCATGGATAGTGGATACTTATGGATTTTTTGGTTGTCTCTCATCCTTTCACTTTCTGCTCTCTATTAACATGGATAATCAGGAGTTCACTGTACTGTCACATATATCCAACATGAACTCAGTACAGTGGAACCTCACTTAACGAGCATAATTCATTCCAGAATCTTACTCATAATGCAAAACACTCATTAAGCGAAACAATTTTTCCCATATAAATTAATGTAAAATACGATAATGCGTTCCATGCCGAAAAAAGTACTCAAAAAATTTTATGTATAACGTTTATTCAAAGAAAATTATATATACATTGTTAAGGAGCATGAATCATCTTCATCTTTTCCTCTATGTGGAATGAACCAACCTGGAATGCAAATTTGGTGTGCAGAAAACAAAAAAAAAATCGAAATAATTAGTTCATTATTTATGATACATATCTTAATTCTTTTTTACTGGAAAGCCGTCTAGAGGCATTTGTTTTTGCTGATGCTTCAAAATTTGGTGAAAATGCAACACAGCATTATCATTAAATAAATTTGTAGCGCGCGTAGCCACTGCCTTATTAGGGTGATGCTTCTCAATGTACGATGCAACAGTTTCCCATGCTTTCAGGATTTCTCTTATTGTGCCAGAAGATTGTTGCTTTGCTGTTACCTCCTTCTCCTCCTCTGACAAACACTCCTCCACTACTTCTTGCTGTGAAACACAATGCAACTCCATAAGCTCTTCGGTGGTCAGCTCTTGGCTGTGCTCTTCCACAAGCTCATCGATATCATTTTTATCCACCTCCAGCCCCATGATCTTGGCCAAAGACACAATCTCGTTGACTACAGGCTCCACAGGTACTATCTCAAACCCCTCAAAGTCACATTCGACAA